CACACACACACACAAACAAACACACACAAACACACACACACATACACACACACACACATGCACACACACACAAACAAACATACACACACAAAAGTAAGCAAAATATCTAGTCTTGTTTTTGGTTTTAGAAGAGGTTTTACGGCGCCAGAAGATACATTAGAGCCGTTACAAGACAGTAACAAACAAACAAAAAAGAAGAAGAACGGGAGAGAAGGACGATAGAATGATATTCGATAGGAAAGAAGGAGGAGCCTAGCAAACCACCCCAGAGCACCCGCAAACCGTCTACATCAGCTAGTCTCGCTCACTGGTATCTTGGAGGGTCCACGTCGAAGTCCTCCGCGAACGTGAGTTGTCCCAGCCTGCTGTCGTAGTGAAACATGTGGCTGTGGTTGCCGGGGACAAAGGTCAAGGAGATGGCGTCGTTCTCGGGGTCGGTGATGTGGATGTTGGGCAGGCAGCTCGACATGCCCGTCTGTCCACGCGGAAAACACCAACATCAGACATAAACATAGTGATACATTGGCAGATAAGAGGATAAATAAATTAATAAAATAAATAAATAAATAAAAAAATAAAAATTTAATGAATGAATGAATGAATGAATGAATAAATAAATAAATACACGAAAAGAGTATCGAATAGTTGAATAAATAAATAAGTGAATGAATGAATGAATGAATGAATCAATAAATCAATCAATCCATCAATCAATCAATAAATACACGTTACTGATATGATACACACCAATACCCATGAGGATGATACAGGTGTTTTCACGCCCCCATCGACACAAATTAGGTCATTTAGAAAGCTGGCTTTGACCCCCGCCTGTCAGAACCCACCCGGACTGGGAGGGATGCAGTAGCTGTACAGAAAGACTATGATACTCCATAGAAATGTTTCCCCACTAAGGAGAGAAGTGGTACTGGTGACCCATTGGCATCATCGTGATTAAGAGAAGAGAGAAAGGGGAGGGGTAGAAAGAGACAGAGAGAGAGAGAGGGGGGGGAGAGAGATAGGGAGAGAGAGAGAGAGAGAGAGAGAGAAAGGGAGAGAGAGAGGGAGAGAGAGAGAGAAAAGAAAGACAGAAAGAAAAAAAAGGAAAGACGGAGAGAAAGAAAAAAAGACAGAACGAAAGAAAGAAAAGAGGAAAGAAAGAACAAAGAAAGAAAGAAAGAAAGAAAGAAAGAAAGAAAGAAAGAAAGAAAGAAAGAAAGAAAGAAAGAAAGAAAGAAAAATAAGTCACTTTACTTAACCAACAACCTACCTTCGCCTCCTTCAAGGCACAAGAGTACAAGTTCCGGTCAAACTGAGGCGGTTCGTTCACGTCGGTGACGTCAATGGTCAGTGTGTGTGCGGGGGAGGTGAGGTAGCCGTCGTGGGCTGTACAGGTGATATGGTACTGTCGGGGGACCCTCTCGTAGTCCAACAGGCCGGTCCCTGGTGCAAGGCTGATGTCACGGTCTGGCGAGATTAGACAGTTTTTGGGTTGGGTTTAAAAAAAATAATATATTATTATTATTATTACGGTATTTAAATTTT